CCCATTTCCACCATCTCCTTCTCATCCGTGCCGCCACTCCCAATTCGCTTCGAGCTCGCCCTCCATCGGTAGCCATGGTCCGTCAACGGATCACCACCTACAAGATGCTCACTCTGCGGCGCCAGGCGGAGATCATAGCGGAGTAGCAGGCACTGCGTGCTGCTCGCATCGCCGCTAGTCAATAGAGCAGACGAGGCGGAGTAGGAGGCACTGGAGCACGGGGTGTGCAGACATGGAGACGGATGACGAGGAGGGGGGACAAGGCGGATATGGCGCCTCCTGTAGCCGAATTCGCCATAGACGACGCGTTGGCCGAGATCAAGGTTGCCTCCGAAACGTATCTATAATTTTTGTTTGTTTTATGTCATATCCTATATACCTTAATAGATGATTTCCACTTATCTCAATTCTCCCAACATACACACATGCCACCACACCACACATGACACATCATCATCCCACTAATTATTTCTATTCACTTGCATGGAAAATGCTATTTACATTCTCCATCAACATGCACACATCAAAACTCTCCAAACATGCCACCTCATCAATCACACTAATTATGTATCCTTGCAAAAAAATACACTAATTATTGATGGGGAACATTGCATGAAAACAAAAAAATACCTATGAAGCACACAAGATCTATTCGATGGACATGGTAGCAACAAGAGGAAGTGTGTCTACATACCCTTGTAGACCAAAAGCGTAAATGATTTAGGATCGTGGTTGGCATAGTCATACTCGTTTGTGATTCGATCTGATCCGAGCACCACACAAAACCGCACCTCTGAGATGTGCACACGTACGACTCGCTGACGTCCGCTCCTTCTTGATCTAGCAAGCGAGGGAGAAGATGTAGGTGGTATCTGAACTAGCATGACAGCGTGGTGGTGGTGGTGGCAACAGAATGCCGGTAGGGCTTCGCCAAGCGCTGACGAAACGAGGAGGTGGAGAGGGAGGGAGGGGCGGCCAAGGGGGGAGGGGTGTTGCCACTGCGTCTTCCCTCTTTATATGGGCGTGCGGGCCTGGGAGGCTTGCTCCCCAAGCCTCTAGGGTCGTTGGCCAAAGAGGGACAGGAAATCCACTCCTTTCCTTCCCCGCCGATCGCTATCCCCTTTTTTAGGGATCTTGATCTTATTCATTTTAGGGGAGCGGGGTCTTGGTGAAACTAGACCAGGGGTGTAGACTAGGGGGGCCCACGTCCATGTGGGTCCCCTTGTAGACCAAAAGATTAAATTCATTCGTTTATTTTGTTAATTCAAAATTGCATCCAAATCCATTATTTCTCATAACTTGAGAATATGTACATCGTAGAACATAAAAGAAGGCAGATTTGATGAGTTGCAGGGGCGGACCCACTTCCACTGATTTCTTGCGGGAAGGTTCTATAAGGAAGAAGAATCATAGTTGTGACCTAGTAACCTTGTTTCCTTTCAAAACGTCATTACGAGAGTAACAAAGAAAGAATAACATAGATAGGAACAAGCGAGCCGACCCAAGGATAATGAATTGGTATGACAGGTGCTTACTTGAGCAAGAAGCCAAGTCATCGATAATCTAAGAAAGGTGTGAGTGAACGAGCCCAACTTTCCAATTCAAATATGACTCATTTCCACTTTTAACAAATAGAGAAATCTCCGCTAGGCTAGCAGTGGGTAACCTGCGTAGTGCCCCATTCGTTCCATGACATCCAATCAGTTCTCCTCGGATTCCAATCCAATCTACCAATCAATGAGAAATAGACGGATGGATGAGATCTCGAACTTTGTCCCTACACTAGTGGAGAAAAGCCTAGCTATGGCGTGCCAAAAGCAGCCTTGCTGGCGTAGACACACGATGCCACTAATATGGCGCCATTGCTAAAATGTAGTGGTGGCGTTGGAGGACATGTTAGCAGTATCCTAAATCGTGCTGGCGTATCACCGGTCCAGCGCTAGCACTAAGATCATCATAACTCTGGCGTGCTTGCTCGTCCAACGCCAGCAAATGGTTTTTTTGGTAATAAAAAGAAATTACTCATCAACACTAGCTACTTACTTAATAGATACTACTGAACACAATATACTCATCAACACTAGGTACTTACTTAATAGATAATCATTACATAAAAAGGCTCATGAACTCAATAAGTTGATATTAAACTTCACAAAAGTTCACTCAATTACACTAGTTACTCGATCATCATCAACTAATAAGATGAGCTAGCTAGCTACTTAAAAAACTAATCTCCAGCAAGGAGTATGTCCATCTGCATCAGCTTCTTTCTATCCGCCTCTCTTTCTCTTCTGAAATGATCTTTGTTCATCTTTAGGTCAATCCTCTCACCCCTGAGGTGTCTCCTATCCTCCTTCAGTTTATTCCTGTCCTCGACGAGCTTATCCCTCTCGTCCCTAAGCTGATTAGCCTCCTGAACAAGTTGAACAACATCCTTGCATAGCTCTTTAATCTCCCACTTTAGATCGTCATTTGCCCCTTGCACGCTCTTGATGACATACTCAAAAGTGTTTAAGAATTCATTATTGGCCATGTCCACATCGCACACCGACTCGTTGTTGCCTCCAGAATTGGCCATGACCTACAAACACATCGCGTATATATACGATCAAGATAATGTGCAATGTAAAATAGTTCATGTGTTGGAAAGATATGATTTGTAAAGTTTCATTATCAAATACTTGGTGTGAGCTATATCAAAACAAAATCAGATACTTTTATAGTGAATAGTGCATGTGTTGGAAAGACATGGTTTTTTTAATTAAGTAGAATAGATAAAATTATGAATCTATTTTGATAAATAAGATATAGCAAACTGACTTCTATACATACACATACTATCATATATAAGAATAACTTCAGTATGCAAAGCTATTTGATTTACATATACCGATCAACCTATACCACTACAAAAAATACACTTCTGTGATGATACGTGTTTGTCACAGTAGGTCGCGTTTTTTGTCATGCATGTACATCCATGACGATTTTATGACAGAATCAAGATAGTCATACATGTGTTGTCATAGAAGTGTTTCATGACATTACCAAAATTATCGTCACGGAAGTGTCCACTTCCATGACGGTTCCGCGCATCATGGAAGTGCTTTCGTCAAGGGTGACCGACACGTGGCATCCACCGTAACGGGTCACCGTTAAGCTATCGGGTCCGGTTTTGGATCCGAGAACCCGCTAACAGCCACGGCCAATGGGGATTTTCCACGTGTAAATTTCTCATTGTCCGGAGGAACCACGTGTCGGCTCACCGTTGGGACAGATGTCATCCACTCTTAGTACGGGAGGCGCCTATGATACGTCGGCACGTGGCACGGCCCAACAGAGGCCCATTCCGGTGAAAAAGGTCGGCCTAGTAAAAATTAGCAGGCCGGCCCATATAAGGCCTACTTGTGTCAGGTCCATTTAAGCCCACAACCCATACGAGAAGTACCAATTCGG